ATTTGATCAGAGATACACAATAAAGAAAGACACGAACACCCATTCTGGCTAGGTTTCCAAAATGTTGTTAGCACAATGTTTACCTCAGGAAAAAGGATCCTGCCGCTATCTTTGTACTTTATCTGTGGCTCTCTGTCTTTTTGCATACTTCCACTCACCATTGCAGCTTCCAAGCATTCTCCACTAATTAATCAAATGCTCCATCCTTTTGTTTCCTAGGTCACAAAGGAAGAACAGTAAATCAAATAAAGATACCAGCTGAGCGTGGAAGCTGGATTTCTACCCAAGGAACCTAATAATAGCACCGTGATGCAGGCGAAGTAAAAATTGATATGGTTTTATATACACAGAGGCAAACAGCTGAGTGTGAAAAAGTAAACATCAGATAGCATTCAAACAGCAGTTTATCCAGCTCATTCTGTGTTTGTAAATGTAGAAGTGTGTTATGGTGGCTAAATTTATCCTAATGTAAGGAAACATGAACAAAGAGGCTGGTATTTGGTAACTTCTATAGGCAACATTAGGACATCCTGCAGGAATTATTTTGGGGCATTTCATGATAACATGGTACAGATTAGAGTTGCCATTTCTGGAAAAATTAGTTCAGAATTATGTAGATAAGATGGAAAGAATTTCAGCAGCATTGTAGTATTTTCCTGACTTGAAGCCTGACTCACACTTTGAAGCTTTGTTTTATTGTGTACCTTGTTTCGATACATAGTCAAAACAGCCTTTTTCCAGAGAAAATAAAAATAAATCAGCTGAACAAGAAAGAATTGCAGACAGTGTTGAATAAATATAAGTACAGTGAACTTAATTTTGGAGATAAATAGTTGTCTTTTCCTGTGAAACGTTTTGCAGACATGGCCATGCCAAACCCAGGAAAAATCAGAGAGGTATAATTTGTTAACAACTGGGAAATGACACCTTTCCTTGCTCTTGATCCAAGCTGAAATTTTGGTAAGAAATCAGGTGTATTTTGGACCACTAGAAAGTGGCTCTGGAAAGTGGTGGCTCTCTTCCCTCTATGCTTCCCTTCATTGCTCTCAAATTTCATCCTGGATTAGAAGTACCTCTCACTTAAAAAGGAGATAGATCATGGCCATGAAATGTTTACTTTTTAAGAGAAGAAGTGAGATTAGTTCTGGTTAGAAGAATGAGAGCCCTGACTCTTCAGCCTTGCCTCTGCAGTCAGCACAATGTTTCCATTGGCTTCAGGTAGAATATTTTTTCGCTCAGGTCGTTTATTATAAGTAAGAATGTACTTTTACACTGCCTTGTGTTCAGTGCCATAAATCCCAACACATACCATGCCTCTCTTTTTTCACTGAGGGTTCTGGCCTGAGCTATTGAATCTCTCTCTGCCGTGGAGCTCACTTTGAGAAGGAGCAAACCTCTGGGACAGACCTTGGTACTTGTTTGTGAGCCAGCCTTAAGATAAAATGCTTCATGTTCCCTTTTGCTTATTCAGTGAGACAAACAGTCTGTTAGATTCTGGGTTTTGGTCCAGCTCAATAATGCAAACCAGGGTAAGCTGCAGTTTCTGCTCCTATGCCAGAAGGTAAATAGCACGAGATCAGGTGCCAGGGTGCATCCCCTCCTGCCCCTGCCACATGCCAGCAGGCCCCTGGAGCAGGCTGGGCAGCATGAAATGGCTTCAACCAGTCTTCCCAAAGCCAGCAAGCCCCTGGCATCAGAGCATCTCAACCTCCTTGTGCTCTTTGCATTGCCACTCAGGCTTGGTGCTGTGTGAGGCTCTTACTTTACCTGGCATGGCTCTGGGGACCATGCCTGCCCCAAAAGGCCAGTGGGTGTCCTTCACTTCACAAAGTTGCAGCCAGTCCAGAGGAAGGCCACAAAGATGATCAGAGGGATGGAACACCTCTCTCCTATAAAGACAGGCTGAGAGAGTTGGGATTGTTCAGCCTGGAGAAGAGAAGGCTCAGATAAACCTTATAGCAGCCTTCCAGTACCTGAAGGGGTCTACAGGAAAGCTGTGGAGGGACTTTTTACAAGGGCCTGTAGTGACAGAACAAGGGAGGGATGGTTTCAAACTGGAAGAGGGGAGGTTTAGGTCAGACATGAGGAAGAAATTCTTTAGTGTGAGGATGGTGAGATACTGTAACAGGTTGCCCAGGGAAGCTGTGGATGTCCCCTCCCTGGAAGTGTTCAAGGCCAGGCTGGATGGGGCTTTGAGCAACCTGGTCTAGTGGGAGGTGTCCCTGCCCATGCAGGGGGGTTGGAACTATGTGATCTTTAAGGTGCCTTCCAACCCAAACTGTTCTGTGATTCTATGGGGTCAGTTTTGGAGAAGTTTTGGAGGAAGGAGAAGAGGATGAAAGCCAGCTTTCAAATCCAGGCATGGGCAGAGTAAACACTAGAAGGAACATGTTTTTTTTAGGATGGCATCTCTGGAATCCCTTAAGCAGCTGGCCAGGAATTTGGGCTATTAAAGCCCACCTACAGAACCATTTAGCCCAGCCACCTCTAAAATTCAGCTATCCAGCCTTAGTAACAGCACAGACACTGATGCAGGGCTTCTCCACACCCAGAATTGCTCCTCTCCT